GTTGGTTTCATACGGATTACTTTATCACAGAATATTTGTTTTTCGACACGACTTACTTCGTTTACAAGTAGACATGCCAAGCTTTCTATAGATATATCTCTCTCATGTCTGTGTGTCAAGTATTCGCTGAGTTTGTTCATTTTTGTGACGCGTTTCTAAATGAAGATCACGGAGACCGAAGCGGCAGACAGTGCACCCTGTTTGTTTTCTTTATTTTACAAAAGCACAACGTTTTGTTGTTATTATGAGTGTATACAAATAAAAGTAGACCCTTTACAGATTTGATTGATGTATTGCTCTTATCTGTACGAACAAAAATGATGGAGTACTTTAAGTTCCTTTAGGGGTTATCAGAAAAAATGCCACAAAACGCGCCGGCGTGTTTGTCAACCCCAGGGGGGGTCAAAAAAAGTTCTGTTTTTGGCAAAAGACTTTTTAAACCGAAAGTGAAATGAATAAGCATCAGGCTGAAGAAAATATAAATTCACATCTGTACAGTACTTTACTAGTTACTTGAAAAAAGTAATCTGATTACGTAACTTGTAATGCGTTTCCGCCCAACACTGTATATGAATAACTCCACGAATCGTGGTTTTGAATCAAAGGCATTTATTGCTAAAATGTACTTGACAAACAAATTTACAAACCACATTATCATCATATTCAATATAAGACAATGTGTAAATGAAAACAATGTCAAATTCCAGAGAACAAGTGCTTGAGGAAATATTCCCCAACATCTCCACTCTAGCACCAATAGCATATAAATATGTCATCATATAGAGCATTTTCGTTCGATGCAGTCGTGTGAAAGTCCAACGTACGATCAGTTCATTCTGAAACACACGCTCTAAAGGAAACGTTAACGTGAATCATTCTGCCATTATTTAAGATGTTATTTCTAGCACAAAAACAAGATTTGCACTTCAGGAATTCTCCTTTTTGTGTTCGCCTGTGAAAATAACACCATGACGAGAGTAAATAATGACAGAATGATCATCTGAAGGTGAATTATTCCTCTTTTCAGAAGCAGGAACCGTGACCGTCCATCATCTCCAACATGGAGACCAACGTGTGCTTGTCTTTTGGCGAGCAAAACGGCACTTGTGCCGAAACTCAAAGTTAGAAAAAATGGCACCATGATCAAATCCATAATGATTTGATAAAAGAGCACGACATACAGACCATGAGATTAAAAACACTGTAGGAATCCATCCAAAGAAATAGAAACGAAGCCAGGAGTCACTTGTAGGAACGTTTGGATGAACCATCTTGTGCTTATGAAGATCCAGCGTCCAAAAACATTGACTTCAACGCTGAATAATGCGGAAACAATCCATGTGCTCATGACTCAATCCATGTGATGCTTTTCATCATCCGTAACCTCCACGGGTCCAGAAATGTGTCTCTCTGACCTTCAGATGCTTCTTTTGTGCTTCAGTCTGAGTACAAGCCTGCAGTGGAATGCCGTTTACCATGGAAGTCTGTTTCCGCCACTGAATAAAAAATAAAAAAGGTAATTGTGACTTTTTTCTCGCAATTGCAAGATATAAACTCACAATTGTGAGTTATAAAGTCAGACTTGCAAGAAAGAAAAAAAAGCCAGAATTGCAAGATGTAAACTTGCGAGAAAAAAAAGGTCAGAATTTCAGGGGAGGAAAAAAATCAGAATAGCGACATGTGAACTCACAATTCCAAGAAAAAAGTAAGAATTGTAAGATGTAAACTTGCAATTCCAAGAAAAATTTCATAATTGCGAGAAAAAATCAAAATAGCGAGAAAACGTCAGAATTGTGAGAAAAAAAGCCAGAACTGCGAGATGTATACTCGCAATTACGAGAAAAAAGTCAGAATTGCAAGAAAAAAGTCAGAATTGTGAGAAAAAAGTAAGAATTGTGAGATGTAAACTTGCAATTGCGAGAAAAATGTCATAATTGCAAGAAAAAATCTAAATAGCGAGATATGGACTCACGATTGCGAGAAAAAGTCAGAATTGCGAAAAGCATATTCGCAATTACGAGAAAAAAATCACAATTGCGAGAAAAATGTCATAATTGCGAGAAAAAGTCAAAATTGTGAGATGTATACTCGCAATTACGAGAAAAAGTCTGAATTGAAAGAAAAAAAGTCAGAATTGTGAGAAAAAAAATCAAAATAGCGAGATATGAACTCACGATTGCGAGAAAAAGTCTGAATTGTGAGATGTATATTCGCAATTACGAGAAAAAATCAGAATTGTCAGAAAAAAGTCCGAATTGTGAGGAAAAAAAAGCCAGAACTGCGAGATGTAAACTTGCAATTGCGAGAAAAATGTCAGAATTTTAGGAGAGGAAAAAAATCTAAATAGCGAGATATGAACTCACAATTGCGAGAAAAAGTCAGAATTACGAGATAAAAAGTCACAATTACCTTTTAATTTTTTATTCAGTGGCGGAAGCAGGCTTTCATAGTTTAGCGTCCGTGTGTTAAAAACAGCTGCACGTTTAAACGTTTATATTTGTAAATGGTGTCTAACGGCAAAATGCAATGCAACGGCATCAGTCTGGAGCATTTGCACATAAACTAACAATTAAAAACAGTGCAAACAGAACACGTCCAGTTTTAGCGGCCCGTAATCTGGACGTCTCTGGACTGATTTCACACGCAAGAACACGCCAGCGGACCTGCGTCAGGAGAGACGGCATATTTAATTTGACACCAATGAACATTGTCACTTAGATTTATTAAAAAATACAAATAATCCAGACAAATTTTGATGTTGCAGAGAAAGCCTCTGAAAGTTTGAAGTAGTTGTAAAAGAGGCCGTCTTAACATCTGGGCCCGTATTCACAAAACATTTGATCTTACCACTAATGTGTGCAAATAAATGCAGCGTGTTACTGAAATGTTTCTGCTCCGAGGCAGATTGCTGGAAACAGCTATTTCAGGATAGTTTGTGGCTTGGTCTCAGTGACTTAGGACTCCTCTTCACTGCTCCTAACCTTTCACAGATTCAGGAGCTAGTTTTAGCGCTGACACGCTTTGTGAAATACTCTTAGAGCAAAAATGTAGGAGTCCTGAATTTAAGCACGACTGTTATTTTTAAGATTATCTCCTAAATCGGCGAATTATGAGCTACTTTTAGCTTTAAGATGTTTTGTGAACACAGGCCCAGATCCATCAGTCTTCATCACTTCCTGTTTTCTGTAGAGTTTCTTTCAAAATGGCATGTTAATGTTTTGTCGGCTGAACAACAATCCCACAAAAGAGCAGCTCCTATCATATAACTGATGCAATTAAACGTGTGGTCTGTTCTGACTGAAGTCGTGAGTTTGTGATGCTGGCGTGCCGTTCATTCGTTCATATATATATATAACAAATGAATATAACTAAAAAAATTAAATTAAAATGAAATATATATATTTTGTTTTTTTCAGTTTTAGTTTTTTTTTTTCAGTTAGTAATTTTAGTGCTTCAACTTTTGCATTTCAGTTAACTGCCAATGCAACATTTCTAACATTTCTAATATTTATATTTTACTTTATTTTAAACTTTATTTCAATTAAAGTTGCCATGGCATGAAATCAAAATCGATAATTCTTTTTTTTTTTTTTTTTTTTTTTTTTGGAGCATTGCAGTGTTTATTATAAATTATTTATCTGTGCACATTATTCATTTTTGTAAAATTCGACAACGATCCAATCAATTCCTGAAAGACCAAATGAAACCCTGCCCTACTCTTTTTTTGTCTTCTTTGAGAAGCCATTTCACTCATATACATTTCATGCCCAATTTAACAAAAATGTGTTTAATATTTTAGATATAGTTAATGTTAGTAACCCTGGTGTGAAATGTCATCTTCTACGATCAGTTTTCTCTTTTTAGATCACAAAAGATCAACAGTTCTGAGAGCGTTATCGTTAAACGGTTTGATGTCTATAGCTATCAGAATAATAACACATCTGCATTAATTATGTTCGACAGAGCCGGAACGTGTTTGTGTGCTCGTGTAAAGTCTGTTTCTGAGCACATGGAAAATAGTTGATCGAACTGGAGTGTATCTGGAGCTCAACACAGCGACGCTCGGTAAACAAGAGACAAACAGTGTCAGTGAACCAGCATGCACATCCCATGATGCTCTAGGAGAGACAGCAGCGGCGGAGAAAGCCAATAAAATAAAACAAGTTTGTGCTTTCACTGTAAACGAACTTTCATTATAAACCACAGGCAGTGTGAGTGAATCTCAGCAAAACATATCCGGGTCATATTTCATTCCAAAATTACAAGAAAGAAAAATGAAATATGCTACTGGCCAAACGTTTGGAATAGTTCATATTTTTAATAGTCTCTTCTGCTCATGAAGGCTGCATTTATACTGTAAAAATAATGAAATATTATTATAATGTAAAACAGCTGTTTTCTATGTGAATATCTGTTAAACTGTAATTTATTTCTGTGATGCGCAGCTGTATTTTCAGCATCATTACTCCAGTCTTCAGCGTCACGTTATCCTTCAGAAATCAGATTAACTGTTTTTACTGTATTTTTGTGTTTGTAAAAATGTATATATATATATATAATTCTCACCGTAGTGACATTATTTTCACAATTACACACATTTAACCCTAAACTCTCATTGGTGTATTTCCTGTAATGCATTTTTTATATATATTTGAATGAGCATAAAAGCACTACTATACTAATACTAACATGCTGTATTAATATTTTACCATTTAAATAATATGTCATGATTTTTTTTTGCACTATAGTAATGAGCATCTATTGGGAAAATAATAAAAAATGATGCAAAAAAATAAAAATCTTAATGGTCCAACAAAATAGGCTTTAATTGCTTTATGCAAAATAGAATTAAGTTTGTTATTTTTACTTATTTAATGATTTTTCTCTCTCTTGGTTTTGGTGTGAAATATGCCACTCTTGGTTTTCAGGCTCTGCGAGATTCATCACTCCCTACATTCACATCTTGTCTTGTAAGCTATAAATAACATCCTCGTTGTGTCGTCATCATTCAGAGCTTCTGTCAGGATCTGCTGGAGATGAGCCGGATCTGTCTTGACGATGGCAGTAGAGATGCTGGTTTGGATCTTCTAGAAGCTCTCCACGAAGCTGCTGGGGAACAGGCCTGTTCGGCCGGTGCGCTGAAGAGTCCCTTTGAACCAGCCGTCTTCTCGTTTCTTGTGCACAAACACGACGTCTCCCTCCTTCAGCTCGATCTCTGCTTCGCTCTGCGGCGGGTACGGCACAACCACGCGGTACCTGACGGAAAGAGACCGAAAACTGCACTCAATGTGGTTAATAACAGGAGAAACATTCACACGGGACTGAATAAGCGTCTCAAGATGCATTACTCGAGCTTTCAAACCAAAAAAAAAAACTGAAAAAAAGTTTTTACAGAAGTCTCTTCTGCTGAGGTTGCATTAATTTGATTTAAAATACTGTAAAAATGTGAAATATTATTCCACTGTAAAGCAGCTGTTTTCTATGTGAATATCTGTTAAACTGTAATTTATTTCTGTGATCAAAGCTGTATTTTCAGCATCATTACTCCAGTCTTCAGTGTCACATGATCTTCAGAAATCATTCTTTTGTGGAAAATAGTAATACACTAATTTTGTACAATTAAAAAATAAAAAATGAATACTTCTATTAATCAGGGATGCATTAAATTGATGAAAAGTGACAGTAAAGGCATTTCTGAAGATCATGTGACACTGGAGACTGGAGTAATGATGCTGAAAATACAGCTGCGCATCACAGAAATACATTACAGTTTAACAGAGATTCACATAGAAAACAGCTGTTTTACATTACAATAATATTTCACAATTTTTACTGTATTTTTACGAATGCAGCCCTGGTAAGCAGAAGAAACTTATTTTATTTATTTTTTTAAATCCAAATCATGCCAGACTTTTGACTGGTAGTGTATAAATATGAAATATTTTCAAAAACTGAATGATAAAATAGGATTTATGAGTTAAATGATATATTTCAATACTAGTAAACGCACCAAACAGTCCACAAGAGGGCGCAACAGATAAATACAAATCAAACTGCATCATGTTGTAATGCATTATTGTTCAAAGACAAACCTGGTGCTTAAAGTGCATTTACTGTACGTTTAAACTAAAATGCATAAAATTGCACAAATAAAAAAAGTTACTTTTTAAAATCTTTTTTGTCATTTTTTTCACTGCTTGCTACAACATCTTAAATTCATGCATTCAAATGTGCATTTAGATTTGAATTCTCCGCTTTAAGACAACCTCATGCATAATGCAGCGCAGTGATTGGATCATAAGAGTTCAATCTCATGAATAATACTGAGAAAAGCTCAGAAAACTGATGTGCAACCTGTACATATGTTAACATCTTAAAAAATATGTGTCTTAGGGTTTAATGACCTTTTAAATGCATGCATTCAAAAGTGCATTTAGATCTTGAATTGGATGAATATTGTAAGTTGTGATTTTATTTTGACAGCCCAGATCTGGAGATACTGACTCAGCAATCAATTACAGTTTAACAGATATTCACATCACATCAAATAAATGCAGCCTTGGTGAGCAGAAGAAAAAATATTCCAAATTATTCCAAACTATTGACCAGTAGAGTATGAATATTAAATATTGTCAAAATTTGAATGATTATATTTGAATTCTCATTACATATTTCAATACTAGCAAACACATCAAATTTTACACCATCAGTCCACAAGAGGGTGCAGCTACGGATAGATACAAACCAAACAGCACCATGCTGTAAAGCATTGTTCAAAAACACACCTGCTGCTTAAAGTGCATTGATTTTACTTTATTTATTTAACTAAAATGCATAAATTTGCATAGAAAAAGCTTGCTACATGTCTTAAATTCATGTGCATATGTGACCCTGGAGCACAAAACCAGTCATAAGGGTCAATTTTTTTAAATTGAGATTTATGCATCATCTGGAAGCTGAATAAATAAGCTTTCCATTGATGTATGGTTTGTTAGGAGAGGACAATATTTGGGAAAATTAAGTTTTGATATATTTACGGTAGGACATTTACAAAATATCTTCATGGAACATGATCTTTACTTAATATCCTAATGATTTTTGTCATAAAAGAAAAATGGATAATTTTGATCCATACAATGTATTGTTGGCTATTGCTACAAATATACCCCAGCGACTTAACACTGCTTTTGTGCTGCAGGGACACATGTTATAATAATAGACATAATGAGTGCTGTTGTTGTTTTCACTGATGTGCAACCTGTACATATATGTTAACATCTCAAAAAATGTGTTTTAGGGTTGCATGAGCCTTTAAATGCATGCATTGAAATGTGCATTTAGATCTTGAATCGGATGTTACCTCTCTCGGGACAGAGGCTTGGGCTCGGGCCGAACAGCGAGTGGCGAGGAGGAGCAGGGCTGTCGCGCCGGCGGAGACACGGAGAAGTTGAGTTCCAGAGATCCGGTCTTTCTGTGCAGCGGCTCCATTCCCATCGCACCCTGCATCTCGCTCTCGATGGGGCAGGATCCGGCTCGGCCGTGAGCGGACGGCTCGTGGGTCGGAGACACGGACGGAGGAGAGCGAGACTTCTTTTTGGCTGCGGCTCCGGAGAGAAGCTTGAGGAGACCGCTGCTCCTCTTCTCTTTCTGTGAGAAAACACACAGGAAGAGAGCCCTAAGACTTCAGCACAACACAGAATCCAGTCAGAAAAACACTGTTGGAGGAATAAATCAAACCCGCCAAAATAAAAGTTCAGTTTAACTTGAACAAATTATGACAGAAATATATTCCTATTGGACAGTAGAATGTACTTCTAATAATAATAATAATTAAATTAAAATCTCCCATGTTTTAATTTTATCAGCACTCTGTTTGGCAACTCTGGTTAAATTAAGTTTTAGTAATCAAAAGGCATGTCTAAATAACTGAAATCACAAGAATTACACAATTTATCAACAATTTATTAGGTTGAACAAAAATTACAATTTTAGGGCCCCATGAAATTTGTTTTATTTTTCCCCAAATTCTGTTTCTGTTCTGTTTTAATGTTACTATTTAGGTCTCATTATTTAATTCAATTTATTCCCAGTTAGTAATTTTATTGCTTCAACTTGCCATAGTTAAAATTTTACATTTTTAATTTTGTAGTTTTTCATCTTTCATTTGTATTTTATTTGATTTCACCGTTATTTCCATGAACAGTCATTATGAGTTTGCATTTGACTGTTTTTATTGATTGTGAGGAACACTGAATGTGTTTGTGTGCAGTGAGATGAGTAAACACATGTTGATATTTAGTCTAGAACTACAGTAAGATCATGTTCACACACAACGCTCTGCACTTACTCGTGATTTCTGTCACCATGGCAACACCAGAGCTGTCACTCAACACATGGAAACAAAGTAACTGCTGTTACT